TTAATACCTTTAAAATCATAAAATCATGGAATGGTTTGGGTTGGAAAGGACCTTAAGATCATCTAGTTCCAACCCCCTGTCTGCTTGCTGTTAGTCCTCAAGCTGGGTGTCTGCGAGTGCACGTACAGACATGAGGCTGGAAACCAGGTCAGTAAATAGAAAATTACACTTTTTTGTAGCAAGAAGTGCATAAATCGCCAAAGGTTTCCTTCCCCTCCCCTGCCTCTAAATCCTGCCTCGCTGGGAAGCAGCAGGGCTCCCCTCCGCTCCTAAGCTTCTCAAAATGATGACAATCCCTCAGTGGCAAATCCTAAAATCATTAGGGGAGAGTGTGAACTGTTGATCAGGTCCAGATTGTCATATGCAGAGTCAGGAGGTACCAGGGATTTATTCTAATGTCTGAGGGAGACATTAGATAGATGGATATACCTGTTCCTTGAGCATTGCTGAAGGAGGACGTCTTTAGCCAGCATCAGCCACATGGGCCCAAAAAGCACATCAGCCAAAATGGGCCCATGCAGGACATGTTCTGTATCCCCTGCCCTGCAGAGGAGCACTGCCATAGGCGATGGCTTAGCAGCTTCTTGCATTGCAGCGCTCCCAACCACAGAGATGTGGGGGACTGCTGAGCTGCTCTGCCACGAGCCCCAGGGTCCATGTCCCCGTGCAGCCACCGAGGGGGTCAGCAGATGCTGCCTTGCGGTTTAAACCTGGTCATTGCCCCACAAGACACATGCTGAACCATGGGGCTGGTGAAGGGCAGAGCTGCTCCCTGGCAATCCAGTGTTAGAAAGGTATCTTCTCGAGGACATGGACATGGAGATGGGATTGACCTGAGGAATGTGTCTGGGGGAGTCGTTTGCTCTCCCTCGGAACAGTGATGCCTGATTTGTTTTGATCTCTTCTCTTTACCCAGACAAATTAATTCATATTTTGGCTTTGCACGAGTGTGACTGATTCATCCGAGGAGCCACTGAAGATAGCGCAGGGCAGAATCAGATCGGAATCAGGCTGATGCTGACACTGATGTGGGCTCTGCCAGCCTGTTTTCACTGGGATGGAGTTTGTTGCCAGCTCGGTCCGCTTCAAAAATCCCGTCATCTGATCCCAGTCATCCTGTAGGAATCCCAAACCACTTAGATTTTCCCTAACTGTAGCCATTTCTCAAATCCACTCCTCCCACTACAGAGCAGTGTAATTATCTGTGTGTGGCTTGTGCACAAACCCCTCCAACATATTTGAACATCTGACATTTTCCCAAGAATAAACAACAGGATAGTTGTGAAATGCTTGCAAACGTCTCCTTCCCACTTCCTAACCTCCAGGGAGCAAGCAGGAAATAGGCAGTGCTTTCATTTGGATGTTGAAAGAAAAGTATAACAAAACAGAATGATGCTGTGACTCTGTGTCCCTTCATTCTGCCATCTCCGGTCACTTTGTTCCTTTCATCTTGTTGAGGGGTTCATCCTTTTGTCACATGCTACTGTTTCTGCTGGTGGGTTGAGAACCTGAACTGCTTTAAGCAGTTTTTACTCTGATCTTTGCAGCACAGTCAGCCTGTAGTGGAGATGTATGAGGGAGGAGTGGTACAGAGTAAGGAGCACAGATCTGGATTGAACTGGGGATCACTCAGCCCTGTAAGAAAGGACCTGTCCTGTCCTTGTGCATCACGTCCCTTGTGCCCTCACATCCCTTATTCTGGCTCCCAAAACCAAAAACACTGTAAAAAACACCCAGCACTGAACTGGAATGTGGTGCTTTTAATTGTACTTTTGTTTTAAGATAGCAGTGCTGGACACATGTATCTGCCTCCTTCTCAGTGCTGATCAGAAAGGAAATCGATTTTATCATAATTAGATTCATACCTGCTCCAGTTCTCTGGTTAAGAGAAGGGCCATGGAGATGCTCCAAGGGCTGGAGCAGCTCTGCTCTGGAGCCAGGCTGAGAGAGCTGGGCTGGGTCAGCCTGGAGAAGAGAAGGCTCCTGAAGGGGAGACCTGAGAGCAGCTCCAGTGCCTAAAGGGGCTGCAGGAAACCTGGAGAGGGGCTTGGGACAAGGGCCTGTAGGGACAGGCCAAGGGGAATGGCTTGAACCTGCCAGAGGGGAGACTGAGATGAGCTCTTAGGCAGAAGCTCTTCCCTGTGAGGGTGCTGAGGCGCTGGCCCAGGGTGCCCAGAGAAGCTGTGGCTGCCCCATCCCTGGCAGTGTTCAAGGCCAGGTTGGACACAGGGGCTTGGAGCAAGCTGCTCTAGTGGAAGGTGTCCCTGCCCGTGGCAGGGGTTGGAGCTGGAGGAGCTTTAAGGTCCCTTCCAACACAAACCAGTCTGGGATTCTATGGAGAGAGTCTCTTCTGGCCCCAGTTTGTACTAGAAAATACTGTCACTGTTGTCACTGCCAGCTTTGATTTTTCCTCCTGGATTCAGCGTCAGAACAATGGTCCCAGCAAACATATCCTGCCACATGCAGCACCTTGTACCGTGTGGCACTGGGACCAGCAGCCCATGGAGCCTGTACCACACAGCCCATATATCATGTGAGGTGGTGCAAGCTGTAGGGTTGAACATCTTTTCTCTTTCTCACATCCAGGCAGGGTGCTGGTGCTGGTGCAGGTGCAGGTGACGGTGGCTGTGCATCCTCATGTGTAGTGGTACAATCCGGGCTGTTGCTATGTTTTCAGTGGTAACGGATCAGGTTGTAGGAGGCAAAACAACCCTTTAGAGAAATAAATCAGTGCTGCTTTGGGAAGGGGTTATTAAATATTATTTTGTTATTACTATTGCTGCTTGTTTCGTTTCTGCAGCTGCTGGGTTTTTGTAGGGGTGGTGATTACGGTTTGTGCCATGCTGCCTCCAGTCCTGTAACCACTCTTGGGCAGAGCCAGGGACTGGCTGATAACAGTCTCTGTGACAAATTCCCATTGGCAATCCCATTCCTTCTCCAGCAGCTGAGGTTAGTCTGGCTGCAGGTGTTACCCCATAGGAGGACAGTGTCTTCAGCCCATTGTACAGAAGGGAAAACCAAAGTGCAGAGCTGCCAAGGGACTCACCAGGGCCTCCAGGGGTTCAGAGGCAGAATCAAAAGTCAGCTGTGTGTCATGAATCTGAAGTCAGGGCTGTATTTGTTTCATTCAGCTGAGCATCTCTCTAGTCTCTGTGTTCGCCACTGCCCTTAGGTGTAGTTCACAGATTTAGGCTGTTTTAGCCTTGGAAGAGTTTTATCCAAGATACTTCTTCACACCTTGGCTAGGACCATGGAGTGGTCTGGCCCAGTGTTTCTAAGTGGGAACCTTTAATCCAGCAGTAAATGATGCATCCCCGCAGCAGCCTGTCACTAACCCTCTCACTGCTTATTTACCTCCATGTGTGCTTATGAAAGAAAAATAAATGCTAAGGGATTACTCCCCTAACGCACAGACCCGGGTGTGCATGCATGTAGTGCAGTATCTTACAAGTCCATCACAGTAGTTTTTAGGTCTGAGAATGAAAGTTATAATGAGTAAAATATTGATTTCCCATAAAAGGGTTTTAATCAAATGCCCTGACACCCCAAGGGGGACAGAACTCTTCTACAACACCAAATTGCACTTCATACACCATCTATTTTTCAAACACTGTATAAATGAGCCTGCCCACTGCACATATGAGAGTTCCCAGATGTCATACATCACAGGCAATGGGGAGAGCTCTAAGGAGAGCCAGAACTGTCTGGCTCAGGAAGGGAATGGTCTGGCAAACCACTGGGGAGCTATGGGGAAAGTGGGGCTTCTTATTCCCTTTGGCTGACCTGCAGCCCATGTAGGGGTATGACAGTGAAGTGCTTGCTCAGGCCTTTAAAGTCCTCATGGCCGTGTTTCTCCTGAAGTGAGGATATTTGGTTTTCCTTGTTGGGCACCAGCCAGGCTTGCACTGTGTGAGGAGCAGGAGCAGTGTGGAGGGACATCACCAGTGAGTGCTCCACCACACTGGAGGTGCTGTCACCACCAGCATCGCCCCAAAAGACTCCTTACTTCCATAATGCATTTGGCAGAGACCTCAGGATGCAGTGTGTAAATGCCGGCTGGTAAAGGCAGGAGGAGAGAACCCTAAAACCCTGGGGCATGGGGTTTCCCTGCTGTTGCCTGACAAAAGGGTTCCTCTCTGCATCTTGTCTACTTAACATCTTTTCATATTAGAAACTTGCTGTCTTGACCCCTGGCCCCCGAGACCCAAGGCAGGTGTGCATTCACACACAGCAAGCCCAGTAGCCTGCACATGCGGCAGGTTTCTGAGATGTGTGGTTCCAGGACCCAGGGCTTGCCTCACCTTTGCTATGAACTCTTAAGATCCCTTTCATTTATCTCTTTTCTTTCAAATATGATTAAATTTTGATCTCCAAGATCATAAGACTCCACTTTTTGGAAAGCGTCCAATACGCTTCTTTACTGATGGAAGTACGTCTGTGCTGAGTTCAGCTTACACTGGAAATCTGCTGCCAGGCCAGTCCTAACCTTATACAATAGCTGTGCCCCGAGTTTTCTGCCAGTGTGAATTGTCATGACACAGCTCAAGTCACCAGAGGTCCATCAGCTTGCATCAGTAAAGCATCTGATCCACAGGTCTTGCTGCTTGGATTTCTGGTAGGTTTCTGTTTCTTGTCTTTTCATCCATATTTTCATATTTTTATTAGAATTATGAGAATCGTATGTTTTGGAGGGGAACTTTTTAATAATAAAGTTCTGCTAGAAGCAATGTTTATTTTATGAATAAATGATTGTAGGGTAAGTTATGCAAAGGGAAGTGTCATGCTGCAGCCTCAGTCTCTTGCAGGGTTTGCCAGCCCTTGCGGTTCTGCCATGGGCCTCTAGTCTTAATTTCTTATAACCTCAGTTCTTACAGGAATATCAGTTGTGAACATCTTCACTTGCAAAAGATCAGTAGTGTATTTCTGAGTATTGGAAATTCACCCTCAAGTGGCAGAAGGCCAATGCAAACAACTCAAAGATATGTTTTTAAATTGATCAGGAGTCCAAATTCATCATGGGATTTCGGCTTGTGGAGGGAACTGGGAGATGACATGGGATGGCAGAGATGGATCTGCATCCGTGTTGCACAAGCAGGCTGGGAAAGGATGTTCAGCATTGTGTCACTTCACATGGCAGACCCGGGTATGGGATTGAGGTTTCAAAATGAAAGGGGCTGTTTGTGCACTGTCCTCTCCTCGTCCACAGCTAGATCATGAGGGCTTGGGCAAGTCACTTCGGGTGAATGTGGCAAAAGAACATAGTGCTCAACATAGGTGCAGGTTTTGTTCCTAGTCATGGGGAAAGGCAAAACATTAAAGAGCTTTTGCAGCAGGAGCTCCTCTCTCCCCACCTAGCATGGTCTGTTTGGTTCTTTGCTTTCTCCAGGAGGAACCAAACAGACTTAAGATCCAGCTGGTTTCTGGAATAACTGAAGGGAAACAGATTCAAAACATAAGGAAAAATTTCAGCATTCAGATCACTGTGAGCTTTCCAAATGGTCTGATTTAGACTCAGGTGGTGTCTAAGTCTTTGTTGTATGATCTGAATGGAGATCTGGATCTCTATTTCAATAGTCATTTCCTAGATCTTGGATCTTCTCTGAACCTGTTCCCCCAGTCAAGTTTTTAACAGGGGCTACTAACTGATCTCCAAGTAGGGATTATGGCCTAACTGCAGACTAGTTTGGACTGATAACCTATCCTCTCCTTCCACCATAAGAAGATAAAATCCTCTCTGGGTCTGGGGTTTGCTCTCTGCCAGCACAGTGGCAGAAAGGAGTTCACTGCTGCTCAGGGCTCAGCTAACTGGAGAGGAGCTCCAACGTGATGCTGTTGACCCCGAGGTTCACACAGCAGGAAACAGTGCAGTGGAGATCCAGATGAAAGCTTTGCCATTGGGAACCATTTCAGGCATTTCTGGGAGCCAGCCATTCTCAGCAACTTGCATTATTAGCTTTGTTTTCATTGCTTCTGTATTTTCTTTCCACCCTCTTCTTCTGCCTCACCTCATCTACAGTTAGGAAGTTCCCACATATTTATGATGCTTTGACTTAAATCACATCACCTTGCCTTTGTAGAAGGGAGCCAGAAAATACTAGCGCTGGGGAATCAGTATTCTGGAGGTGCACTGCTTGCTTTTCGAGTACTTATTTATGCATCCTGGAGGAGGGGAGGGTGCGCAGTGTCCGTGTCTCCTCGTCCTGCCAGGAGCATCCTCCCAGCTCAATATCACCCTCCTCATGGAGCTGGGTGCCTGTGACAGGGCTCTTCCAGGAGTTATCTGCTGTTGTTTTGATCAGAGCAGTTTGTCCTTTCCTGTCACATAATTTCTGTTATGATGGCTCATTTTTCTTGGCTGAAAATGGAATTGCAGAAAACAGGTAAGTTGTCTTGCTCTTCCCCACTGATGAATCATGCTGCCTTCCATCCTGTGTCCCGCTCTCTCAGTTCGCTCTCGCCTCTGCTCCACAGTAAATACTTTCCTATGCCCAGAGCTCTGTAAATCTCACCCAAAGCTTGAAAAGTTTTATATGTGCTCTGCCAACTCACTCTATCATTACTATTAGTGCCAACAGAGACTGTGCCCAAAGGAGGAGCATCTCAGCCTCCTCTGAATCAGTGTGTTTCTCTGCCCAGGCTGGGGCTGAGCGCTGCTGGGTCTGTGCACATACCCAGGACACACTGACAATGGGAGAGGCATGAGAATCACCCCCAGGGCTTGCGCCCAAGGGAGAAGGGGACTCTCTGTGCTCAGCCAGTGATGGTCGGTGCCACTTGGCACTTGAAGTGGGGACACCGTGTTCATCTCACTTGTGGTAGAGGGTGCTGCCCCTCTGAAGCTAGAGCCTGCCAGCACCCATGGTAGAAGACCTCTGCCTTCACACCACTGTGCTTCCCAGGAGCCACCAGCAAGTCCTCTGCAGCAGTGGAGGCTGCTTGGAAAGCAATAGGCAGCAACCCTAGAAACAAATCAGGAGCAAGTCCTGGAAAGAGCAAAGTTATACCACTTCCAAAATTAGGGTAATGAGAGAGAGGAGCTCAGCTAGGGCATGGTTATAGTGATTATTGATTGTTCTGCAGGAGTGAACTGCAAATCAGACCAGGAATTACAGCCCCTTTCTGCAAGGCATAGTATAAGTGAACCAAGGGACAATCTGACTCCAAAAACCTTATGACCAGGTCAGGCTGTTGGGAACTGGAAGCCTCAGTGGAGCACCCTTGTTGGCTCTGTGGCTGGGATTTTGTAACTGAAACACCTGAAACCACTGAATTCCATTAACAGCCCTAATCTCTCTTAATTTCTTTCAACTTCACCTAGGGTTTTTGAAGTATAAGTAGATTAACAGGTTTAACACTCCAGTTCATACCCCCTGGCATGGACCTATTTTCATGAGGGTTTATGATGCTGCAGGGGAGGCTGAACTGTGTAAAATGTATGTCACAATTTACACCTCTCTGCACCCCTGTTGCTGCTTTAAAATAGAATCTAAATGATCTGTTTGTAATGGGTTGGTTGTGTGGGTACACAGCTGAGAGACAAGGGCATCAGTGTGGCCTTGAAGTGCTGAGGGATGTTTAGCTCTGCTGCTGCTTTTAGCATTGGTGCTGTCTCTGACCATCAGTGGACAGGTATTTCCCCTTGGTGGGACTGCACATAACACACCTATGATTTGCACCAGGAGACTTAATGCTGTGTTAACCACATAGGCTGTTTCCCTTTTGATGTCCCATTTGGTGTTTCCTCTGTACCAAAGTATCTGGATGTTGGGTGTTCTTTATTAGCAGAACGTGTGACTCCAGTTCTGCTCTTCAAGGAGTAAGTTGGTTGCAGCTCGATACACCAAAAATCAGTTTAGAAGGGTTTTTGCATGACCATGACACAGCACCTCTCCTCCTCCTTATCCAGCCCTTGGAGTAATTCAGAGGAGCTCTAGGACTTGTAGATGGTCTCAGTGCCACCACGGCAGTGCTTTGCCTTGGGACCATCTGCCCCGGGACCATCTGCCCCATGGCACAGAGACTCCAGATTCAGTTGCACATGATTCACGGCCCAGATTCAGTTGCACTAACTTTCTGTGGCCTGGGGAAATAGCTGCATTAGGGGACAGGCCCTTCATCCAGGCAAACCTGGTTTCCATCCACTTTGCATCTCACAAGGGTGGATTCTCCTTTCTGATGCCAGTATCGTGTAGCTTGAGCAGAACAAGTCACCTGTAGTATTAGCCCTGTATGTATTAATCTCCCTCTTACCATCTTTGCTTTTCATGACAAATGCGAAGGAGGCTGAGCTCTCTTCGGTATTAGGCTCATGCGTGGTGGTGGACACCAAACTCAGAGCATCTCTTCTGCACCAAGAGGTGCGGGGCTGTCAGAAGCACAAGCAGAGCAGATGCCTGCAGATGTTGGAGCTCCTTCAGGCTGGCTCAGAGGTGTTGCAAACAGGGGTCTTGGTGCTGGGGTCTGAAGTTTTGAGAGGGTTTCTAGGAGTGCTGTAGCTGTGCACAATCTTGGGCCTTCTTACAGCTGTGCACAATCTTGTTTGTAGAGACAGCTCTACAAACCCATGAAGATGAGGCTTTTCACGCTGCCTGGCTTCCTGGTGATACAACATTATTTGGGGTGCACAGGTCAGCAGGGACTGAGGATGGGGAAAATCATGCTTGAAAGAGCCAGCATGGAAAGACACCTACACTGGGAATCGCTGCTTCTTCTGCAGGAGCTGCATTCAGGGCCAAGGAGAAACAAGCCTGAGTAAGATGTCCTCTGGGAGGGTGTACCCAAGACAGGAATCCTCCAGCCTCTTCAGGCTGCTCAGCGTCACCCATCCTGCCCTTCGCTGATGGATCTGTGCCTCTGGAGAATGGAAAGGGAAAAGCATATTCTTTATTGTAAAGCCTACTTTGGAAAGCCTTCAAGGGCTCTTTCCATTCCCTGCTTTTTATAGCCTCACTTTTAACCAGGGCAGACCCAAGCTATCAGCTAGCATGGGAAACAGCACAACCCTCCTGGGGCAGGGATGGGAGTGAAAGCCAGGAGAAGGCTCAGCAGGGTGTTGCCAATACTGAACTATGTGTGTGTATGGAAAATAAGATACCTGCACTTTACTCCTGCAGGTGCTCCAGTGGGACTTTTTGCATGCTTTGGGAGTAGTGTTCAGCCTACCCCAGATATAATTTTTAATCAATGAACTACTCATGTGGAAAAATGCTTCCCAGCTTTACTTTAGCAGTGATTTTGTTGTTGTATTCATAACACCATATTCTCTACCTATCCTACTAACCCTATTCACTCTCTTCACCTAATTTGTAGAGGAGCAAATGAGGGATGCCTTTGTCTCTGCACTGTGTAAAATACACATTAGTACTTTCACATGGAATGAGCCAGCCACTTTACTGGTCAAATAACCTTGCTTCAGAATAAATTTTCCCACTTTCCTGTGGGAGAGAATCCTCACTCCATTCACTTTTCAAACATCCTTCTAAATGAAGACCTTGGTATTTTTTTAAAGCCTTTCCCTGCCTCATCATCTGTAAGCCTCTAATCCCTTTAATCTTTCTAGTCAGGAGATGTCCAGGCAGCAGGGAGCTTTGTAAAGGTGTGGAAATCTCACCAAATTCCTGTGTAATTCCCTGCTCCATGCTCTGGGTTGAGCTTGATTTAGCCTCTGTGGCTCCCAAACCTCTCCTCTGGATCTTGCCCCTCCTTACCTGCTCTCAGACTCTACATCAGGCCTATAATGCAGATGTTTAGGTGGAGAAGACACTGTCTGCTCCTGCTATGCATGGCACAAGAGACCTGTGCCATTCCTTGCAGCCCATTTGTATCTCAAAGAGAAATGACTCTGCAGAGTACACATACTGCACATGCTGCTTCCCAAAAGTAGGGCAGTGATCGCATGCAGCTTGATATCATTGTGTATTTAGCACTTCATCTTCTGCTCTGCAGCCAGGAGGAGCCACAGCTGAATTGATCCCAATGCAGGACTGTGAGTGCAGGAAGAAATGGCATCACACAAGGTTTCAGGCAGGAAAAAACCCAATAAAGTCATAATGGTAATTCACATATCCCCACTATATGTTGGCTAGTGATCTCAATGGAGCAGTGATAGTTAATTGCAGCAGGAACCAGTCTCTGTGTGTGCAT